TGTGGCAGTTTGAATTTTAAGAACACAACTAAAATCAACATTTTATTTAGATTGTGATTGTTATGACATAATATATTATATTAATTAATATATTATCCTTTATAATGCTTTATTAGGGTGACCAGAACGTCCTCCGTGGTGAGGATTGTCCTCCATGGGGTCCCTCAAAACAATGTTCTCCCCGGTGACTGAGGAGGACATTGAGATGTCCTCTTCGCCCATAAATGTCATAAAATGCAATTTTTATGTTATTTTTATATGTTTTATAATAAGTACAGTATGTGTGTATAAATATGATTAGTTCCAGTAGTTTTATTAAATTTAATACTATTTTTGATGCAATATTATTTAAAGATTGTGTTATCAAATAAAGTTCATACACGTCTCAATAAATATAGTAGTTTTATAAAATTAATTATTTAACATTTAATCCGTTTGTGCAAATATCTTGACATAATATGATCAGTATTTGTTATTTATATACATCATTTAAGTAAATAAAGACAAATAATTAATTCAGATTTGAAAATAATCTGTCCTCCTCCCCATAACAGTATATTAATGACAAGTGTCCTCCTTGGGGCTCATACATTTCTGATCACCCTAGCAACAATACAGGTGTTATAAATTTTACAACAGAAATCTATTTATGAATTACATGGGAATCAAAAAAAAACATTTTATTTGCAATAAAATTTAATTGGAAACATAATTTCTACTTAATTATGATAGTTCATAATTATTTGTAAAACTGACACATTAATTTATTAGAACAAAATTAATTTATAATTAAAAAATTATTAAGAAACGCGTGTGGTTTTTTCGCTGACTGGCCTTATAATTTATAACTACTATAATAGTAATTGATTAATCAGTATCACATTATACCACAAATAATAAAATAATTAATTTTAAAAATTTAATTCAATATTTAATTCATATATAATAAAGACAGGTTCATGTGTAATATGACATTAATAAACTTATGCAGTATAGGTTATAATTGAGCATAATTTATTTTAATTAAATATCCTTTTAAAAATATTTATGAATTTAGCTAGAATGACACAAAATTAATTAAGCCTAATTTTTAAAAAAGAATCCCATAAAATTTTTAAAAATTTAGCAATAATTTTTGTATATTTAGAAACTTGATAACGTAATCTAAACTTTATACTTAATGAAAACGTTTGCCAGTAATTTTACAAAACATGTTAGGGTTAGGGTGCCCAACCTTTTTGCCCTCAAAACACCAATTGAACGTATTCATAGAGGTGGCCCGTAATGATAGCTCCTACCGCACTCACTAGTAAGGGGACATCACGGGCTACCCGGCCCTCAAATCTGCCCTGGCTACATTTTATTCACACTTTATGAGCCGGGATATCAACCTATATATCAATTCATTAGTACCATCAATTACCACAATTAATAAAATAACAATTTTTAATTTAATTCAATAATATTTAATTCATATATAATAAAAGCAGGTTCATTGCATTAATAAACTTATGCAGTATATGTTATTCTAGCATATACCAGAATTCATAGTTGTGAACCTCCCTGATTCAGACATTCAATTGAATTTGGCTAATATTGCCTGAACCTTCTTAACACCGGCATTAACCGCGTGCAATGCATCGGTCAAATATGCCTGATCAGGGTGTCTAAAGATCTGCACCTCAGTCGCCAAACTCAGTTCATTACCGAAGTTATAGTACCACCCTCTCATACAAGTGATGTACCCTTTCTGACTGTTCTCCTTGAGAATGACTGGGCCCGAAGCAATGACGACTTTTTTGTAAAGATCCGCCACCTTTGCCAAGTCCACAATGTCATGGCCCTGGTCGGCGTTGGGTACCTTATCGAAAATTGTTCTAATTTCTTGAGCCAGTTCCCCGATAGCTTGTTGCATCTCGCTAACACGCGCGTTAAAATCAGATGATGGATTCTGGGGATTCTTACGGGCTTCCAATGCCTTGGCTACCATCTCATCCAAAAATACTGGCAATACGTGCTTGCTCACGTAATTATAGTTGTCAGGCTCAGCGATAACAGATACCATTGCCGATCGAAGTAGATCGCCCGCCTCGTCCCAGTCCTTTTGATTGGGGCCCACGATATCGGGAACACCGTTTTCTTTGAGACAATCGCTCAAAGAATGCAGTAGTGAGCCGTGGGCGCCGGTACCCAACAATATTATCGCTGAAATCAAATAAGTTATTTCATTGGCCATGGTAATTACTAACAGTTTAAAATTTTAACAAATACAGTAGTTCAAACAATTGTTAAACAATTGAATTAATAGATTTGTATTAAAGTCATACGATATTGTGTACTGATATTTATACATTTAGCTATTATAATGTGATTGAATAAATAAGTTAAACATTACTAGTTAAAAATAATAAATTCTAGTAATAATAGTTTGTGTATACTTAGAAAATGTATGCAGATTAATTTAGTTTTAATAAGTATTTTACCAAGTAAATTTCAGCACTAATAGCTGCACTTTTATTCTCTGAATTATTCAATTTTATCGTCCGATTTACATCAAATATCAATTAATACAGTATGATAATTACCTTGATTTATTAGAATTTTATAATTCAGTATAATTTATTTTTTAAATATTTATGCAATTAGGTAGTATGACACATAAAATTTATAAAGCCTAATTTTTAAAAAATAATCCTAGAAAATTGTTTTTAAATTAGCAATAATTTTTGTATATTTAGAAACCTTATAACGTAATCTAAAATTTATACTTAATGACAACGTTTACAAGTATTTTGACAACACTTGTCATTTTAATAATAAGCATTATTCCTGTGAACTAATAATACTATGAATTATTATATTTGTTAACATGTGTTAATCTTAAATTTAATTATACTTAATGACAACGTTTACAAGTATTTTGACAACACTTGTCATTTTAATAATAAGCATTATTCCTGTGAACTAATAATACTATGAATTATTATATTTGTTAACATGTGTTAATCTTAAATTTACAATTTAACATCAATTACTAGATATACGATAATTAAACAAGATATATACAGGTACACGATTATCAATAACTTATAATTTATTACTGTGTATAATAGTTATATGCAGGCCATTGTTGATATAAATTCATAGAAGCAAGGTAGAATGTCCATTTATTGTATAGAAAATATGTCAATGATAATGCAGTATAATCAGTATAATTGAGAGCGCAATTAAGGTATACATTATTCTACCTTGCTTCTATGAATTTTAAACCGCGCTCACAAACCGCGACCACATTATGGCCGCTCCACCCAGTTTCACTGCAAGGGGTGTCGTACCACTGATTAGCGTACGTGAACACGCACAGCTGATTCCCACCAATGCCATTATTGGGATCGGTACTGGCAAAGCTATTGTACATGGTCAAGTCATCGCCGTCGGACCATATGAAACTGGTGGACGCGTTGTTGCTAATATCGACCCTGGTGGTCCATAGCCACGGGCTACTGCCCACTGGTAGTAGCATGGCCAAAAAGGTATTTTTCATGCTATTTTTGCTGGTGATCAGGTGAGCGCCGTATGTGTTTTTGCAATACTCTAGGGCAGCCCCGTAGGTCATGCCCGTGTTGGGGCCATTGATCACGCACGTGTTGTCAGGTGCCGTGCTTCATCCCGGTGGACAGGCTGTTGTTGTATTTGTATGGGAATAACATTAGAAATGTATACAAAATTAAATTTAATACATGTATATACATTGTATATAATAGTATTTAAAGTATAACAGTTATACTATAACTCATTAGTTTTCAGAACTAAAATATTACTTAATTTTTACTTTTATATGACAAACCCTCTAGCTAATATAATGAAAATTAGTCAAGCTCAATTTGCAACTTACTTGATGGTCCTGAGCACTGGGAGCAATCTGTAGTCGAGCCGCATTGGCAATCACAATTACACAGAGGTGCACACGTGCCTGTTAATAAATGCAAAAATGTACCATTTACAATTAATAACAAGTGTACATACCTTGAGCGTAAACGCTGACAATGAATGACAGCATAACATAGGCAACAGAGACACTAATATAAACATGATACAAATAAATTTTGGTGGTAATTAGCATACAATTTAATTATACATTTGACCAAGATCATTAGACATAAGTAATTACTGTGATAGTAAATTAAAAATGATAATAAATTATGATATAAAATAATTATCGATAAACAGTAGTTTGCTTAGAAAGGGCAACGTTGTGCAGGTATGCACGTTATCCAGGTGCGATACAAACTAGTACATGTCCAACATTTTTAGTAATTTTATCATAAAAATCGCCAATACTAATGTTAAATTGAAGTAAGCATTAAAATATACAATAAATTAATTTAAATTCCTAATATAAAAATTTATAAGGTATTTTTAAATAAAACCCGCAATGTTACATTAGTAATAAAGTAAACAGGCTAAAAATTAAATTCTTAATCAAGCTATATTACAGTAAAATATTTTTATTTCAAATCAAACATTTGCAAAATTGTAGTATATTGCACAGGTGTCTAATGATATAAGCGATTGTTATTATTATTTAAACATTTTAATTAGAATATGATAAAGTATTTTAAATATTAATTACTTAATAATAATTATACTGTATGAATGGACACTTACCTTGAGCATAGACAGTGACGATTACCGTGAACATAATGCATACAATTGAACAAGTTACCGTTTTGGTGGACATATAGTTACTCAAAAAATAAATTTTAAATTATGTAAGCTTGCTTATTGAACTTACTTTAAATACTAAAATAACACATGGGCATAATAAATATTTTGACACAGGCAACAATGAAATATATTAAAAATACAATTAGTATTTTTTAAATAATAAAAAGTGCACATTTATTTATAGAGTTCATTATTTTTATTTGTATTGTTTTATTAAGTTTATATACACTAAACTTTTTAAGTATAAACTATTATTTTTAAAAGTACTAGTGTACTAGTACAGTTATTTTCATTATTTCTGGTGTTTAACAGTGTTTAACGGTGTTTAACCCGAACTTTCATTTGTTTCATGCTTGCTACTTGTATCAGTGGAGCAAAGTAATCCAGGTTCTAGTAAAAAAAATTGTTGAATATTTGAATAAAATTACATTCACAATATTTATAATTACACCAAAAACCTAGACATACCTGAGTCTCATCGCACGCCAGGAACTCATATTTACGCAAAAGTCTCACTAATGAGTACTTCATCTCCATTAAGGCGAACCGCATACCAATGCAATTGCGAGGGCCGGTAGCAAAGGGCAGGTATGTGTAGTCCTTAATCAGGTGCTCATTGTTCGGCATAAACCTATCCGGCTTAAACTCCATTGGGTCGGGAAAGTGATCCGGGTCTACATGTAGGGCCCAAATAGGGATAATAATAACAGTGCCTTTCGGTAGGAATATTCCCCCCAAATATGTGTCATTTGTGACGATTCTGTCGATTCTATACATAGAATAGTCTGTTAATTATTATGTGATTATACCCGGTATACAGAGCACCACCTATTCAATGAGCAGTTGATTCTCATGACCTCTTTGACAAATGCGTCCAAAAACGGCATTTTCATGAGTCGGTCGTAATCTATGTCTGAGTTGTCATCAAATGTGGTCTTAATCTCGTCGACGAGTCTATTCTGATGGTTAGGATTAAGGGCCAGTAGTCGAGTAATGAAACACAACTGTGTGCCCGTTGACTCATAACCGGCTGCTATCATGTTAATACTTTGGCCCAACACCTCGTTCACCGTTAACTCTATAGTGAAGTTATGTTTATTTCATTGAGAGTGAGAGAGAGA